CCCCCCCCCCCCCCCCCGCGGCTCACTTTTCCAGGAAACAGCTGATGGTGCACGAACCCTTCCGTTTCCACGTTTCTTTTGCCCCCCCCGGCCACGTTGGGGGAAACCACTCCCAGGGCACCGGGGCCCCTGTCGGGCGCCCCCCCCAGGAACAGCATCAGCCGACACCCGGGGAAGGGGAAGCCGCCGCCCCCCACCCCGCGTTCCGCCGCCGAGGCCCCGGTTGATGTCTTTCTTCCCGGGGCCCCGACACGGCCGTCCCTGGCGTCGCGCCCCCCCCCGGCGGTAGAGGTGGCACCTGCGCCTGCAGGCCCGGGCGCAGCGCCGAGCAGGAGGTTTAGCAAGAGCTTGACGGCTAGCCCGGTCACTCGGGTTCCCGCCCGGCCTGGGGAGGGGGGGGGTAGAGGAGAGGGACGTTCGCTAGTGTGCTATGGGGGGGGGCGGTGTTGTACGGTGGATATCGTACCGGGAGAGGGTTCACGTCACGTGAGCGGGTTGGATTCAATTCGGTGTGCAAGAAGACGTGAGGATGGAACTACCACCGGTTCCACAGTCGCATTTCCCCATACATACTTTTGAAACCGTCGCTCGCATTTTCAAAGTACTCGCATTCTAAAGAGCTCTAATACAGTAGGGGGAAGTCGAGCTTTGAAAATCGGTTCAGCGAGTGTGGTATCCCTACTCGACCTACGGCATTTTCCTTCCAAAAGAGTCTCCGGTCCTTACCAGCGGCCGCAGCACCGCCGTCACGGCACGCTCCTCTCAGCCCTCGGACGTTCGCCGAGATCAGTTCGCGGTTCCCGCCGATTGGGCACAAGAGCTCCTCCAGCGACATCACCTCCGACAGACCCACAGCACTCTGAACAAATACCCCCCAAGCCGAGATGGTTGCAAGGCAAAGAGCAAGCGCGCGCGACGGGTTGTACTCATACCCATAGCGGTGTATTCCGTAGTCGTTGGACCATTGCCCTCGCATCCCCACAACGCCGGGACGGAGCACGCCGGGTTCTCACGGACAAGCGCGGGGGCGTGTGTACTTTTGGCATGCCTCAGTTGTTCATTCATTTGGGGGTATTCAGAAAACGACGTCCGCTGCGAAGGCGCGTGTTAGGGTTGTGGTGGTGGAGACACAGGCTGGCGGGGAGTGGGGCGGGAAAGGTTAGATGACCCGGCTGTTTTCCCTGGAGCGAAACTGACGGAGTAACGTGGAGCTCACGAGGTACAAAACAAATGAGCTGGCGATAGCAAGAGGAGCTAAAACAAAAAAAAAAGAAACGACACAACAGGGTATACCCTGGTCGAAAAGCGACACACCTGGGTACACAGTCATTAACAGCAGTAAATGCACTCATACCATTGGTCAGCGCCCAATCTCACCCCGGTGCGTCCGAAAAGGCGCAGGGTATACCTTGCCGTGACTATTTTTCTCAACAACTGTACCCTGTTTTCGGCAATGTACCCTGACCTGACGGGAAATGAGACCCTTTCATCAATCATTTCCCCCGCAGGAATCTTCCCAACTCCTTTTCCCCTCCAACCATGGGATTATTGTTGTTGTTGTTGTCTTCACATTACCAAACGGCGAATCTTCGCGCCGAATAACAACCATGGCAACGGGGCAGGAATCAGTTTCCGTCCCTGCCAAACAACACCAACCATCAACTCTTCCGCTCTAGATCAACAATGGCCGGGCAATACCCCAGCACATTTATTTGTTCCGTTTGGAAACATGGACACACACGTACAATACCCCGTGGACTACTGCCTGCTTCAGTCTATATGCGAGATGCACGGGTCACGCTTTGAAAGCGAGACCGATCCAGCATGGTTGACATGTATATATGCATGCATGTGTGCGTGCGTGTGTTGTCTGTTGTGTCTCAATTGCGATCCGATGTGTTTCTTGCTTGAAATACTGCTGTAGCAGCAGCGGTCACGCTTACCAGCCGACCAAGCCGACCAATCAATCGATGTAGTAAGAAGACGTCAGGCTTCAGCGGGATGAGCCGATGAAATACAACGCGAGCGCTCTTTCTTCTCTCTACCGACAGGGAGGGTGATTGAGTTGGACGACACAGCAGTGTCCTGCTGCTAGAGTAAGGATAAGACTCGTGGTGCGTGATTGATGTCAAGTGTGCGTCTGTGTGTGCTGGTCCTGCCTCTCCCGTCCACCCTATCTGCGGGCGCGAGCTCGCCGCCAGCACAGGGCCACACATTGGCACATGCATGCATATATGCATGTCAACCATGCCGGATCGGTCTCGCTTTCATAGCGTGACCCGTGCATCTCGCATATAGACTGAAGCAGGCAGTAGTCCACGGGGTATTGTACGCGTGTGTCCATGTTTCCAAACGGAACAAATAAATGTGCTGGGGTATTGCCCGGCCATGGTTGATCTAGAGCGGAAGAGTTAATGGTTGGTGTTGTTTGGCAGGGACGGAAACTGATTCCTGCCCCGTTGCCATGGTTGTTATTCGGCGCGAAGATTCGCCGTTTGGTATCCCATGGTTGGAGGGGAAAAGGAGTTGGGAAGATTCCTGCGGGGGAAATGATTGATGAAAGGGTCTCATTTCCCGTCAGGTCAGGGTACATTTCCGAAAACAGGGTACAGTTGTTGAGAAAAATAGTCACGGCAGGGTATACCCTGCGCCTTTTCGGACGCACCGGGGTGAAATTGGGCGCTGACCAATGGTATGAGTGCATTTACTGCTGTTAATGATTGTGTACCCAGGTGTGTCGCTTTTCGACCAGGGTATACCCTGTTGTGTCGTTTCCCCCCAAAAAAAAACGTAGCACCGCCTGGGGAAACCGTCCGTAGATCTCATGACGCGTTATCCATAGCGCATGCCTCCTCAGGCAAACGACGCCATGCCAATGTCGTCTAGGTGCGACGCCTGCTACAACACCCGCGCTACGCCCGCAATCGACAAGAGTACCGGCCTTCTCATGCGGGAAGAGCACCTAGACGTACGTCGCCTAATGCCCCCTGACCCAAAAAACCCCACCCATCAATCTTCGTGTGTCCACCCAAATAAAGGCTCACCGATGGCTCGGTCCAGCTCCCGCCCCCCCCGCCCGGCTGCCCAGCGGTCCCCTGCCCTCCTCCGCCGCCGGCCCCCGTTCCCGACCCCAGGTCGACGAGCTGCACGTGCGGCAGGGGCGCCGCGAGATCGACCAGACCCACCCGGTCCGATACCGTCACCACGCCCAGCCGGCAATCGTCCGGAAGGCGCTGAACGCACGTGTCCAGCACCTGGCAGAGAAGGAGACACAGAGAGGGAAAGGGAGAGGGGAGGGGAGATGGAGAACACACAAAAGACACCACAATCAAGAGCGGCAGGCGGTCGAGATGATTATGACGAGCGTGAATAACGCGTTCAATGTACCAAGTTTATACGGCAAGCAATCAGTTTCCCTTTCGTTCTTTCTTTTGCGCGTGTCCAGTTTGCGTCCCCCCCCCCCCCCAATCATCGCCCGTGTACCGACGGGAAAGCGGGAAATGGCACGCGCGGGCGGGAGCGCAGCGCGGGTGCTGATTTTGTCTTCTCTGTCAACGTGAGTTGGTCATGCTGCGCCTGTGGGGCTGCTCGCCCGGTCCCCCACGGGTAACAAGCGCACCACACACCTGAAATCTCATCATGAGCACACGAAAAAATAAAACTGAAACAAAAAGACGTCCGAAAAAGGTGCTCATGACGGGGAAAATGACAAAAAAAAGCCGGCGAATGGACGCACAAAGGCTTCACGGGGACTGACTGTCAAGTCATCTTACAGTACCTCGGCCATAACGTCATGGTATTCCGGCCCTCCGGACTCATCGACAACGGCCAGGTACACCAACGGCCGGGCCGCCGCCGGCTCTTGAGCCAGGTACCCGTTTTCGAGCAGCACCTGCAAAGGCATGTGTACCAAAACAGGGCAACGGGGGTGTGTGACCTCATCCCTCATGCAGGAAACGCAAGGTTATGAACGCGAAGAGCAAGTACCGGCACACGTCCTGTTCCGCCATCTCGGAGTCCTGCGATGAAAAATTGTTCTGGTAGATGAGGACAACAACCGAGAGTCCCCGCTCTAGATACGGTGAAGGGCAGGCGCCGATGCCCTGACTCGCATACGACGCGACAGCATCCTACCACAGCTGTCGCGCTGGCAAGCCCGAGTGATGCCGCCATTCAACCACCCCACCTCTCACTCAACAGCGCCGTAACGCTTGCTATTACGTGCGGAAGTGCAGTGTGCGCATTGGCGGCGAAAGTCGGGCGCTGTGGGTATGTTGCTGGCACACTGCAGTGTTCCTGGGAAGGTGATGCTCATTAGGATATTCGGTACTGCAAGGAAAGGGCGGGGGGGGGGGGAGAACCGCCTTACCTCTCCGTTTCGCATCATGGCTCCCTTGCTGTCCAGAGGTAGCTCGAACTCCACCGTCTGCCAGTGTTTCAGGTGTAGGGACGGTGCACGAGCAATGAACTTGAACCCTTGACACAGGGAGGTGTAGTCTAGCATAGTCAATGTCATCGTGTTTCCTACCGCTGGCAACAGCGCCGGCCAACACAGCCGGCCGTGCTGCTGTTGGGAAGGTTCCAAGAAAGGAAAGCACCGCCGGCGGGAAGGGCTTCTCGTGCACAGAGCCAACACTCCGAAAAACAAAACCACACCGCAGTGCTGAGGAGCTAGCCGAACACCAATATGCCACCTTAGCCAACACCGATTTCGTCCATCAATGACCTCGAGAACCCCCACGGTGATGAAGCGGGTGGAAAGCACTTCTTCAGACCCAAAAGAAAAAAAAAGGTTCACCAACCTCTTGCGTCAGTTCCGGTAAGGAGCGGAAGGTGCGCCTGTCGCGGTAGCGGGAGAGCTCCTGCGTGAAACGGCTCATATGTCCGCACAGCGCACACTTCCAGTACCTGTCGGCGTTCGGCGCACGAACGAGACAGCCGACGTTGCAGGTTGCAGCTAAGGCCAGTGCTTGCTGCAATTCGATTGACAAGAGGCATCCGGATGGGTGGGTGCGGCGCAGGCGCCAGTGACCTGCGAGAACGCCTGCTTGCGTCAAGAGCGTGGGGTTACAATGCCCCTGCTTGGACCGCACGTCAAGACAGCTCCTCTTCCGGTCTGTTGTCGTAATTCTGTCTGTGTTCATTCGCACACGAAGCCCGTTCGTTTCACAGGACGCTCCGCTGGTCGACCTATCCGAACAGGCCTGCTCGCCCTCCAACACTTCCGTGTGGGGGCATCATCATCATCACACACGAACCTAGAGGTGAACTCGCTGAAGCTATTAATGTAGGCGAAGCACTCTTCGCATCTCGCGACTCGGTCGATCGGTACAGGGCGAGTGGGTCCCCGCTGTCCGTCCCCGCCCGCGGGGTCCCCCACATCCGTGAACGGAGAAACGGCACATGCCCACGGCGCCCCAGCGGCGTTCTTGATAGCGGCTGGTGTAGGTATCGGGGCGGCGCGTTAATCACGGCAGGGTCGTCAGGGCCGTCGGGGAAAAATGCAAGGGAGGAAACCGCTATTAATAGGGGCGATGTTGGCAGTGGACCGAATCCTACGGCAGGCGCACGACCACCATCGAATTGAACACCTATAACTACAGTATATGGTAGGCCACCACGAAAATGGTCATATTTCCATGTGTGTCTCGAGGCATGCACACGCCAGGCAATGGAGACGACAGTATGGTGATGGCAGCGGACAGACAAAAGCGGGAGTAGGTGGCACCATGCCCGTCTACATGTTAGATGTGCATGTACTTCGCACAAACCTCCGCAGACTAAAACCGCGTAGAATATGTACCCATTTCTGCCGCATGGAACGTCGGGTGTACCGGTTGGGCGCGGAAACTCGGGCTGACGCTAGCTTTCAGTGCAAACAAGAACCCGCGCATGGTGTTCGTAGCCCTGGTATAGGGTGCCGTGAACGGGCTTGTACCGGTCACCCGTTCGTTGCCAACAGGGTTGTCCAGGAGGCGCCCAAGAAGAACATCAGAACACAGCTTTTGTAAGTGAAGTCTACGTAGACCCTCTTTGCCGTGAGTGAAACCGCGTGTGCAGGTCGGCTTCATTAGCTGCACTACCAGACATGCACACGCGCACGGCCAGGTGAAGTTATCAACTACTTGTGTGTCACTGCCACCGGTGTGTCGTGCCAGGGGTGCCAGGCCCAACCTCACGTCTGGACGCCACCTCCTGCGGCGGAATGACAGGAGGAGCACCTCTAACCTGAGTGTGGAAAAGCTTCCAGCGTGAAGCGGATGGGGCGCTCGTCTGGGAAGAAGTAGGGGATGTTGCTGTCGCTCTCCTCCGCGTCAGACATGCTTGCCGTAGGCGTCCCGCTGGCTGCAGGCGTCTGATTGTCTGAACGTCTGAACTACTGCTGTTTGGAGCTGTTTGGAGCTTTCTTCGCTCTCTGAACTCCATTGGCAACGGAGCGCATGCCTCTTCAAATATTTCGTGCGAGAGGGGGCAAACAGCGCAGAAAAAAAAAAAATCGGGACTGTCATCCAGCGCGGCATCGCGGACACTAAGCACCCACGCCACCGCACGCTGCTGCACACCAGCTTATCGTTGCTCCTATCCCATATCTCCGTGCACCGCGCGATGCAGCTCTGCGGGACGGCGGTGCTACTCGCCTCGGCCCTGGCGTCCTGCCGCGCATTCACAGGGGTCCGCCCGCTAGTTGTGCCGCGAGCGCCGGCGGCGCATGCACGATTGAGACATGTGTCGTCCTCGTCCGATCATCCCCTGGGCAGCGGCAGCGCTCGTGCAAGAGCAACAGGACCAGCACCGAATGTTGTCCGCTTCTCGTCTCCTTTCGAGGACGTCGAGCACGGTGACAACGACGACGAGGTCGACATGATGCAGCGCGAGGCGGAGCAGTTGGAGGCCATGATCCGGGGCAGCCGCGGCATCGTTGTTGAGGCGATCGAGCGGGAGTGGAGAGAGGAGATGCTGAGGGTGCTTGGCGAAGAGGGGGAAATGCTGTGCTCGCTAGCTTACGAGGGGTACCTTGATCGAGGGCGCGGGGTCATCTTTGTGAGTCTGAGCCCTGGCCAGGTAGTTTATTGTGGTTCTCAAGGAATAGACTTATTTCTCAGAGGGAAACGCTGCAGACCGATGTGATGGTGTCATGTCTAGAGCTAAGCCCGCTGCCGAGCACCGTACACCACCAGCACATCATGCAGCGACGGACTGTTTCCGTGTCGTAGACCTACTGTTTGTACTATGGGAAAGGAGTGTTTGGTGCTGCCACTGCTGGTTTTGAACACAGCTGCCTGTAAGATGTCAGCCGGTATGGGTCTTTTGTTGATGTCCCAGCTATGTATGTACGATGTATTGACGATCTTGCACACGATCATACGTTCATGCTTACAATCCACCCACGCAACAGGCATTCTTAACTTTGGCATTTCTACAATTCATTCCCCATCCATTAGTTTGCACGCTTTTGTCGGCAGGGAAGTTAACAGTAACACCACTAAACATACGCGAAAACGCCTCCTCTGGCCTTCTCATGCACGAACCGATCCCCACACGCACCGGGCCCCGCATGGCTCTCAACCGTTCTCGCGAATGTAGGTGAACGTGGACATGGGGCTCAGCAGCAGCAACAAGGGCCATGACGGGGCCCCCTGCCACTCGGTGTTCTGTTCCCTGGAGGAAGTAGTGACGGAGCGCTCGTCAAGGGTAAAACCGGCCGACCAGATGCAGATCATACGGCGCTGCCAGGAGTACGATCCGGAGGTAAGTTGTGGGTACCCCCGGCGTAGAAGACGTAGCAGTTTGGTGGTGAGGGTCTGAGGACGATGGTGCGTAAAATGGTGTTGCCATTTGATGGGTTTTTGTGTTGTAGACGTATCTGGTGGTGTTGGTATGGATCTGTCGTAGCGTTGGTTGCTGTTGCTGCTATACTGTTGTTTTCACCGTCGTGGCTGTTGGTGCGATCGTCGCCGTTTACAACCCAGTGAGGCCCGCTGCGCTAGCTGGTTTTTCTGCAACGTTGCCTCACGACGTACCCGATCGGTTAGTCATTCTGAAGCCGTGGTTGTGGCTCCGCAAGATAGCCGCCATGTTTGCCCTGAAGATGCTCCATGTACAACACGCCGCTGGGTTGAAAGGTTCACGGGCCACATAAGGCTCGTGCTGGATTGGTATCAAAATCTTGAAATGGCATGCACCGCCTACTTGTACGAATGATTGGACGCCGGCTTGTTTCAGCCATTTTCACGAGCTCATCGTACGCGCAATCAACACTCGTGCCTTCTCTGACAAGTCACGCGTTGCTCCCACCCCCAAAACGACCCTCCCCTGGCGATCCATTACATTTCAATCGGGCGATTCATCTTGGCGTCAAAAAAAGGCGGGCTTCGTCTTAGTGTTTGGGTACAAGGGGATGCTCGGGGTACAAGTAATACGACCATCGATGGCGCCGGGGGAGGTTTTCCGAAGTCGCCGGACGTGAGAGAGCGGGTGAAGTGGCGCAGCTCTTGTGATCACCGTTGAACGCCTTGCAGCATGTTTATTTTGCCACCCCACGGATTTGTTTTAGAGCAATCTACGTCGTCGTTATCTTCGCCGTTGGCAGTGCATTTAGCTCTGTATTTGCTGCGAGCAAGAATGCCTGTCATTGCGTGCAAGGACGTAGTTCTGCGATGCGATCGATAGATGCGGAGTGCTGCGGCCGTGCACAACAGCAACTGATTGTTTTGGCCCTTGTCAATGTACTTAATTTCGCTTGACGGTCCCTTTTTTCTTGTTGCGAAGTTTTGGACTAGGTCGCTTGGCGGCACTATGGGATGAAAGTGCATCCTGCCGCATTATGCCTGAATTTGAGACATGCCCTATACAACACAGGGGTTTTCATCCAAATTGGCAGAGAGAGATTCTCAGTAGCATTGCGTTGAAGGTGGTATTGTCGTTGTCATGATATGGCATTGTGCGAACTAAATGCGACGGTTTTGTCATGAAGAAAGCGGTATGCATAGATAGACGGACAACCATTTCCGACGATAGTCTTCTACTGCTCAATCTGATGCAGAGAGAACGGACGAGATGAAGATGCGCACACAACCAATCAATCCCTGCGTGCATATGCGAGCTATAATTCTTGTTGCATCCTACAGAATTTTCATGTCGCACACATGCGCGGTGCACAGACCAGATACAGGTGATTATTCCCAAGATCACAAGAGCGGTCTATCCAGGCCAAGAGTTTTTGTTGAGCATAGGTCCAGGCCAATAGAATTGTTTTGTCCGTGTCGCGCGTTTTGGGTAGCCCGCCCCTTGACCGTTCGGGTCTCAAAAGCCGATCTCGAGCTACGGTGCACGTCGCGCGGCCCCGGAAGCGTGCCTCCGTAGGGCACATCGCAAGTCATGACCCCTCCCCAAGTTTCAGCAGCTTCGGCTCCCTCCAGCGAACAAGAGCCAACATGCAAGGGGGATCCGTTGTTGAAAGCGATACCACCGTGCGTGATCTACCTGGGGTTGCTAGAGGTCCCTTCCGAGATCTAGCGCCCGGTCTCCGTTGCAACTGGATGTCCCAGTTGGGAAGGCCTGTCGGTGACAAAATGCTGTCCCAGAGGAATCTGCCTCCTTTGGTTATGTGAAGCCTAAAGAAGGAATCAGAATCACGTTGAACGACAGCGTAGACTCGGATATTGGATACCCGGCCATCGACTCCGCTGAGTCGATACACATAATATACAGACAAGATTGTACTCGAGGCTGTCCAACACGAACTCAGATGCAACGGTCCCGGTGGCCTGGCAAGTTCGGAATGTAGGGGCGCATACCTAATGTATGTCTAGGGTGAAACTCAATTTCCCGCCGATCCCAGCGCCTACAGCACACCGAGGTCACCAACTGAGCCTTGGTCGCCATGGAATCGAACACCTGGGGTCAACCCTTGAAGATTGTGGCATCTCCACCCACAGCTAGGCCGACTGGCTCGGCAGATTCTAGACGTCAAGCAACAATACAACACCATTACAACCCGATACCATGGACACTCAATCCTGGAAGCCGCGTGTGCTCTCTGTTTAACCTTTCGGCGTCACGTTTTCTATTGCCAAGAACTCGGTTCGGAAGATCGAAACAGGCGGGATCAAATTTTTACTGATGTTGCCAACCATGCTCGTAACACCGATGCCTACAGTCCCTCTCTATGCTAAACGCATCTCCACCAATGCGTCCTCCGCTACCATGCAACAGAATTTGGTCGGCCACAGAATCTTGTGCGTCACACGTGCAAACGAGCTTTCGGCGTGATTCTATTCCACGACCCGTTTATCCTACTCAGGACCCCAGCATGCACGAGAGCTCCCCTTCATAATTTCCTACAACGACGCGGCTTGATGCTCATGCTGACCCAGACTCACTGGCCAGTCCTCGCAACTAGGGGGGTTGACTTCGCCCACACACAACATAAGTAGACGGCACAGCGCAGAAGAAGACACAACGAACAACGTACAGTGATGTTGGGCATGTAAACCAACTACTTACTTCAATCTCGCGTTCCCTCCGGTGCGGTGGCCTGCGTACTAAGCAGAGCCCGCGAAACGAAACCTAACAAAAACCCCGCTGAAGGGAAGCGTCACACCGCGAAGTTGAAGATAGTGCGCGTGTAACGACTAGAAATGCGTGCGCAAAATTAATATCAAAACACTATGCAGTACCTAGTGAGTGGGGTGGGTGGGTGAGTGAACGTCGGGGGGAATGAACAGATTGAAGCCGCCTGCCACACGTCAAGCTGGATAACTCTCATCAGCTAGCATGTAACGGCTGTGCCTTATACCTGCAGCCACTGCATTGAATCGTGCTGCTGCGACGCACCGTGAACGCAACGACTGCTGCTGTAGCAATGTGCGATCCATGCGCAGAAATGTTGAGCACTACTGCCAACCAGGTTTTCCCGGCCCCGGAACCTTAATGCCTTCACCCGTTTGTTGACTCCACACGGTTGTGGCGAGAGAAGGCTCAACTGAGTTGAAGACAGACGCTACTCATAGCTTCTTGGTTCAGGTTGAAAGGGCAGAAAAACGACCCAGTTGGCTATGTGTTTCGTCAACCTAGTGCACAGTCGAGGACCACAAAAGGTAGGCCGCGGACAGCGCCGCAGCACCTAGGTTGAACACCGGAGCCAGCTGAAGAGCACCGTCCCTGTCGCCATCGACTTCCTATCACGACGGGCAGGTAGATGCGGTGACAAACGAGCCAAGAGGGATCAGGAAGAGGAGGGGGGGGGGAAACAAAAGCCGCGAGTCATATGTTTCTTGTCCGCTCGTAGCCCCGGAAATCAATGTGATGCTACGCTACGAGGTAGACAAGCACTACCTTTCTGACTTTCGACTCCATGTCAAGGGCGACAAGCGCTTCGATAAAAAAGGCTGCATGCCTTTCACAATACCTAAGAGATGACATTGCCGGTACGAGTTGAAGCGCTACTGAGCGCTGGTGCATCCACAATCAGTCATAATGCGCAAAGGTGAACCTACTCATATCTGGATGCCATAGCTCGGGGAATTGCCTCTTGGAGTACGCTTCGAGCTTAACTGCCCGGGATGGCAGACTCATATCTTCACGAGAAAAAGGAACACAATTACTGCTGCGTGATATTTTTTTCCGAGACTACACCCATCCTATCACTATGATCACGACCTGTTCAACATACACCGAAGGGCAGGGCTGACCAATATTTGGCATGGTGAGAGTGGTATCGCTGTGGTCGTGCGCAAAGGGGAAAACACGCTGGATGCCCTAACTAACTTCGTCGTGAGTGAGACCTTGTCGAGGCCGGCCCGAGGGGAGACCGCTTCCAAAACGGCGAAATCGGTGTAGAAATCTGTGGAGGACACCTGTCGGGAGTATAACCAACCATGTGTGCACATGTGTACATACAAAGTGTAGGAAGATATGGCTCCCTCGGGGTATCTTGTCACAAGGAGAGTGACAGGAAATGCACCGTTGGAGATGGATATCTTCCGAAGTCCCTGGCCACTTGCCGAAAGTGGAAGCGGAGCGTCTTCGACTCTCCTCTCTCTCTGCTCGCTATGACCACTCTCTCTTTCTACCCTCTTCTCCTCGTTTACATATCACGAGAGGAAATAGCCTTCCCCTGGCAGTGGGATAATACTGCCAAAGTACCGGCCTCTGTCTCCGACAGTAGCCAGTGTCCTCAAATCTTCCTCTTAAAAAACGGATGGAAGCAACGCTACCGTCCCAAAACCTCAAGCTCAACGGCAGTACAAGGTCCTCCAGAGGGGACGGAGTCCCATCTTACCGTGCAAAGGTCTTCGATGTCATCGCAGGTCGCCGACTCTCCGCTAACTCGGATGTAGAGGTACTCAGCCCTCTCGTCGTTGGTGCAGTACACCTGCAGGCGGACGATCCTGTTCTCCAACAGTCCCCGGAGGTTAGGCTCCCAGTTGGCCTGTATCGTGGCTGCGTACAGGTCTCTCTGGGTCGGGTAGAAGACGTGCTTGAGCTCGTGGGTCTCCCCGTCAGACTTGACAAACTGCGGTGTTTCCCGCCAGAGGTACAACGGACAGGAGAACGAAAGAGCAGAGCGAAGAACGGCCGAGTAGAAAAGAGTAACGCGGAGGACGTGGGTGAAAGGGTACAGAAGCGAGCCTCTCAAAGCCGTCGTTGCTCCCACCAGACAGGCATGGCGTAGAGCCCGGCTCTCGGGTGAGGCGGAAAGAGCAGTCTCAAATACTCGTGCGGCGCTGGATTGATAACCGCTCGGCCGCCAGCGGCCATGGACGTCAGCCAACTATGCGAACTGGCTGGTTCGCAGCCAACAAATGCGTGGCGGGTGTTTGTGACCCACAAAGTCGCGTCGTCTTGGCTATCTCGGTCCTCTCAAATAGAGCAGCGAGTAATTCATTTCACCCCGGTGCCTTTTCGCGGTGACGTCCATAGCGGCTTCGTGATCAGGTAAGTAAGCTTCGATCAACTCGCCTCGTCTACCCTCCTCTCTCGATACGATCCCCTCTCTTGACACGGTCTCCCCTTACCTCGGTCTTTGGCACCGCCGAAGCACAAGCATAACTCTCTCAGGGCATCGGCCTACACCAACCTGTGCGAAACATATACCACCCCCGATAATGCCACATTAATAACCCTAATAGAGGACCGAGTTTTCTTTCTCCCATTCATGGTGATGTTCATGGTGATGGTCCTTCTATCGGATGATTCCTCACCGCGTTGTACCAGTAGCCGTCCTCTCCTGAGTACTCCGCCGAATCTCCGTTGCAGTAGGTCTCCGTCGTTGCTCCGGTCTTGGTGACCACTGAGTTACTCGTCGTCAAGAGGACGTCCCCGGGCGAGTTGGGCACGGCCTCCGGAATGTCGAACGAAGGCAATGCCGGGTCGGAGAACCGGTACCCGGCCGCGGCTCCGTCGACGTCCGGGGACCAGTTGGTGAACCTGCGGCGCAACCGCGACGTGGTGACAGATAGATCCAATAGTTTTTTTTGGTTATTCTCAAAGTACTCTGAAAAACGCAGGGAAATTCCCGGAAAACCCGGTGTAGCTTTGTTGGGGGACTTCTCGGTGGCGGTTGAAGTTTGGTTTCGCTAGGCAGAGATACCCAAAGCATCAATAGGATTTGCATCGATCATGCGCTTTAGTTT